TCTATTTTATTGCGAATGGGTCACCCATGCTCAACAGTAAATCCATTTGCTGTAAGAGGTATATCGTATATGGCAAAGGATACTTTCACCGATCGTTGAATTTCGCGAAATTATGCGGAAGTTGAGAGATTCGATTAATATCGCAGATGCCAGAAGCCAGAAACATATTGTGTCACTATCGTATAAGTACACTGTCGTTCTCATGCGGTCTAATCCGAATACTTTCACGCTCCGGAGATGTCGATCCGCAGGCGATTTCGAGGAAGCCTATCAAAATGTACAGCTATCTGTCAAGATAAGTATCTAAGCACGACGTAAGATGGAATCGGCTATTATTATGAAAAAAATGTTTAATTAATATTAAATTCCTTAATTACTCAACTAATTCTTTTCTGTTCTTTTCTTTTGTTACATAAGGACAGTTTTAAAGCCTTAATTACATTACAATTATATCGCAACTATTGCATTCTGTCATAATTACTCATAGACGCGTCAATCGCAAGAAATATGCTCTTATCTGATATCGATATTAAACAGCTTTGTCTCTCTGAAGCGAAAGCTTTGCGGGCTCCGATTAGATTCGAGCTTATCCCACCGGAAAGGACCGAGTGAGGTGAGTGTCAGTTTCTGGCGATAATGGGATATTCGTTACGTTATCGCGAACGAAATTGCATCCGCGCGCAAGTCTGCATAGTTCGCCGCGCTTACCAAGCGTAGTCACGTTGTAACTGTTGACATTTTCGTGCGCTCCGTCACGAGAGTCGTGACGGAGAATACCGACGCAGGATAGAAAGGACGTTGCGTAAAACGTGCGCAGCATTTAAATGATTCAGAATGCTATCACAGAATGGGAATCGAATCATCGCGCGTAAGAGTCGACCGTATTGAAAATCGATGACTCCCGATTAGGACGCGTCCCAATAATTATCATAGATCGGCTATTTTAGAAACCAAGAATGCCAAATCTTGAATCAGGTGACGTTCATCAAGTCTAATTCGCGAGCTGTTCTATCTCCAGAATTCTGACAATCGACGAGAATTTTATCGATTCTTACACAGTTCTAAAATTATCCTCCTTTCAAAAATATTATTGCGGATGCAAAAGCCGATCTACTTACAACTCTCGAAAATCAGAAAAATAAAACAGAATAAAAATAAAATCAAATGTACGAGACAACGAGAAATAGTAATAATAGTAACTGATGTAATAATTTATTACGTCCGCGCAAGATTGGTTAATTTCTTTGAAACGAGAAAATTGAAGTCAAGCAGACCGGTAAAACAACCCAGAGATTTTAACAATGGTTAAAACGTAGAACAGAAAGAACCGAATATTTGTTATTCGAGTGGGTGAACGCGTCGCTATCCGGCTTTTACCATCGGCTATGCGCGTCGAGAAGTTTTAAATTACACCAGCATTGTACGAATACAATGTGCTGTCAGTGTATCGAGTGTATGACGGGAACAATCGCGCGTACCTCGGGACAATTTAAAACGCAATTTATAATAACTACGAGATTAGTAAATCCGTTGAACGTAAATTAATCTCAGCCGCGTTTATCGAACGGAAACGATAGATACTTGGGATGCTGATAGAGTACACTGATAAAGTACCCTGATGGCGCAAGATTGTTTCACAAACGAAAACGTTTTTACTTTATCGCGATCGAAATTGCCTTTCCGTGTTTCGCGTTTTAATAGGATTGACGCCGCGCGTTGCAGAATAAACGACAAAAAGACGAAATAAGAACATTTCAAAGCGGAATGAAAACATAATGGGGCGTATCAGAGAGTCGCGGTGCAGGGCATGAAAAATTTCGTACACGAATAGACACGCGGGATGTTGTCGACGGTCCATTATTTATTTATTCACTTGCGAGCGGTGCCAATCAAGTGAAATTTTGAACTCGTAAAATTGAAGCACTTTCAAATTAATAAATCACGTTATATTCGATATAGCGTACTACTATTTCTATTGTATGACACTTGAACGCGTGGTCGTTCGTTAAATTAATAAATATTGCGTTTCATTTCCCGATGCCAGCCGTCGCAAACACAATGCTAACGTATTCAAAATCAACGCATCAATTCGCTTCGCATGGGATCCGCATACTTTGCCGTACGAGGCTGTGCAATCTTTCTTCCGCTCGAATGTAACATTCTGGCACTTGTTCTCTAACTTCTTAGCGATTGTTCGAGTGTTCGAGGGTATACGAGATCGTTCCGTATCGTAACGCAGTTTCGTAAACAAAGGAAGCGAGGCGAGATACGCGAGGGGAGAGATTTATATCCGTTCACTTCCTCGAAAGGAGGAAGATGCGATCGTAAGGAAGCGCGAAGAAAAATTTCTTACAGCATGCGCACGTATGATGCACATTGCACACGCGCGAGATTCCGTGCGAAACGCGTGCGGCCGCGTGCGTGTCACGGCCGTTTTGCGCTTACTCGCTTAGCCGCCTGTCGGGAAAGAGAAGAAAAGGAAGAAGTGGAAGAGAAGAGTCGTACATGAAAATTACATACCCCGTCTGACTTGCGCTTAAAAGATCTCTCGGACGAATAACTGTAGTCAGCTAAAAGCCTCTCGTACGTCAATGCCACATTAACGAGATTTCGTGGCCTACACGGGAGGATAGTGATACCTTTCCACGATCTTTAAGCCTGTTCTACAATGTGCCTTTTGTTTCTTACCTTTTGTTATTTTTTTACATCTTTGTCTTTTTTGCTTCTCATCCGGTTTTTTTTTTGTTTTGTATCGCCCGAGATAAAAGTTAACGAACTTCGAAAGAAACCAGAAATACGTAGCAAAAAATACATTTGTTGATAAAACGGTTGCCAAGGAGAAAAAAAGCAAAAGGTAAAAAACAAGAAACAGGAAACAAAGAGTACATTAGAATAGGCTTTAGCATTCACGCACGCTTTGTTGTCGCACGGTTGATCTTAGAAATACGATCATCGAATTAAGATAGATACGTGTAAATAAATTGATCGTTGTCGTTGTGATAATTAAATTAACGATTTCTTATTTCTTTGTTATTAATCCATTTCTCTTTTCATTGTCCTATTCATAGGAAAGCATCTTTTTAATTTTTGATATACTCGTATACATGTGGAGAAAAAAATTGTTTATGCTGTCCTATAAATAAGACAATGGAAAGAAATAGGTAAAATATCGATATATGATCATATTATATTTTCCCATCTTATAATCAATCTAAATATATCGTTACGCTTAACTATAGTTAATGAATTGTGATAAAATTCACCTTAGCTGCGACGGATCTCTTTGAGAACGTTTCTGCCATAATAAGTATACATCACTTCCCATCTGGTCGGCACCGGTTGCGTTTTCTCAGGAATGTATTGGATACTTTTCGGGATAACTTAAAATATATAGAATTGTTTTTCAGTTCACATAAAAAACACTGCGACACATTTTTACTGCACTCTTGTTTTACATCGTGCGAATTCGAAAAGTTTTTACCATCGCGTTACTTTTATCGGCACTTTTTGAAAAAAAAAAAAAATCCACGATGCATCCAACTGCATTCTCGATATAATCCTTTTCAAGTATAAGCTAATAGCTTCAGTTTTGTCGTCGAAAAATCGATAGCACTTTTAAAGGACTTTTAACGTTGAAAAGGGATATTCTTACATCAATTATAACACATATTTTAATAACACGAGAAGTGGACGCGGTCATCGATCTGGATATGTTAAATTTACGAGGCTAAATTTCTCAGATATATTTAAATGAGGTATTTGTCGCCGATTGGAAAAGAAATAAAGACTGGTCGACCTTTGCGCGTTCATGTGATAGTCGGTTTACGACATTTACAACTGGAATTTCAACTGGTTTGGTTTGTATCGTCAGATAGCTCGGATCGTAAATGCATATATACGCAAAGGAACTAAAGAATTAATTTGTATTACATTATACACACTGATGTATACGTTTAATTAATGTTTACATCGGGTACACAAATAATAACAGATTTAAATTAAACGGATAACAGCCAATTAATTATTAATTTATGGTTTATTTAGGGGATGGACTCGAAAAAGTAACACGAGAAAAGCCAAAGTTAAATTGTAGCGCATACCTCTCTCTTTTCCAATTATATATAAACCATTTTTAAATATATTTTGATTAAAAAATCTTATAAAATATTTAAGAAATTTTTTTCATTTGAGAAACTTTTGAGAAAGAGTATCAGTTTTGCATCTTATCCTTTCAATCTATAAAAGTAAATTAATTGCTTAATTAGAGAGACTTAATTACTCGAAATATATAGCATGAATATACGAGAAAGAGAATATGTCAATTGAAGCTTTTACGTATTACTTTAAAGCTAACTAAAGCTACTTTGATTTTATATCGAGTTCCTCGTGAGAATGACTGTAACCAGAGAGACTGCCACTTTATTCGAATACTACGTCCTCGTACGCCATCACGCACGTCACGCACATCTTTTTCACCTCAATTGTCAAAACAAATATATCACATTCAAAAAGTCACTCAATATACGAAATTGCGCGCGACACAATTTTCAGAAAAAAATGACAAAGAAATACGTGCAGTAGACACTATCATTCATTGACGGTGCAATGTTCAAGGTCGAGAGATTCAATCCTTTTAAAATCACGATTCCATCTATAACAATTGCGTATCTAGGCCAACTACCGATAAATCACCGTGGCATATGCAACTGAAGTGTGAAATCTCTTTCACCGCGATTGGATTGCCCGGATCGTCGTTCGTTTGACAATATTGACGTAAAATTCAACGGAAAACTATAACTCTTAATACGCGCGCAATCGCAATATTATCGTCGAGTCACATTAACAGGTAAAATGAGAGCGAGTATTGGATAGTGAAACGGTGGAACGAGCCACGTTGAGTTTCTCGATCGCGCATATGGAGCTATCGTCAATTGTCGGCCATGTGCACTCACAGGTAGTCATCGTAGAAACACGCGTATACCGGTATAAAATCATGGCACATGGCCGGATCGCCGAGGAGGCAGATCATCGGCCGGAACGCGAGGAGGCCTGAGGAGGCCGGAGCACCGGTGAACGCGCGACGAAAGACTGGCCCGCGGGACCCAGTAAGAGGGGCCCTTTACCGCGCCGGGGCCAGCCGGGGCCTCGATGATACGGACGGCGGTCGGCGATCGGCGCGGTCGCTAATGGCCAATGGCGCACGGATAAAAGTAAAGAGGTAAGGACGTATAGAGAGTCCTAGGAAGGATCGTACGTTGTGGAAAAAGAGGAACTGACCGACTGGTCGTGACGAGTCGAACAAGTCGAAGAAGAATAACGGAAGAAAGAAAGCGAGAGAAAAAGAAAGAGAGAACAGGAGAAAATGAGAGAAGGGGTGGAGGAGAGTTGCGAGTTTGGCAGAGGCCGGTCGAGTACCTGGGCGACATTGCCACTCTTCTTACAGTTCTTCGCGAACGTATTATACTTTTGTATACCCCAATTCGCGATTATTGTTGCGCGAACTGTCTCGAATGCAGTGGCGTGTGAAAAATTTTTTCTAACTTTTTTTAATTCTCTAGCACGCTGCTAATTATTCCGTTTACCAACCACTATTAACATCGCTACGGATGAAGCAGTTTGCTGCTTTGTTGTATTATATTTACATAATAAGATCAATGCGATTAAATTCATCCATGCTATTCCTCAAAATAGTAGTTAACGAATTTTTAAGTATTTCGATTTATGCGGTTCTTTCAATCATTTTACCATCAAATTTTATTCCAGAGGCGATATTATTGTCAGAATACATTTTTTTTTAATATAAAAATAAAATTCAAAAATTTTAAATCAATTAGTTTAGGAGATTACAATTGTCTGCACAGTGTTTGTACATTTTTTTAATATTCTATGAGAGAGAGATTGCAATCAATCTCCGCGTCATTAGTGAATCGTAAGTTATATTTATGTGCTATTTCAATTTTGATACGATATCCTGTTGGAGGACGCGCCTTATTTCGTCACGGAAGATCAAGCGCGCTTCATCTCTATGAAGATCATTAAATGTAATAAGCTGAGCAGTGCTAGGCATGATTATCCCAAAGCTCCTCGTATCTTCCGTCACTTTGCTGCGTTCATCTACTATGACTGTCGCTCATTTGCAGAATATACGGAAGTTACTTACATTCAGGTAATTTTACAAAACTCGAGATACTACCCAAATAAAACGAAGTCCAAAATTGAGATATGAGACATCTTATAATATATTTTTCATACGGTTTTTAGATAGTTCTCACAAAAGTGTCATAGAAACATCTTTATTAATTTATAAGACGTGTTATATTTCGAATTTTGACTTTATGTCTAAATTGTTTTCTAGATAATAATACTCATTGTATAAAAATGAAGCAGTAGTTTGTAGTTTGACAGTTTAATTATAAAATTATAGGAATAGAATATAAGTATATGTATTAAGTCTAAGTTATTGAAATAAAGGTAATAATTATCCGTTTTTACTTCTATGAAGAAATTGACTCTGACAATAAACGCGATGTTGAGTATTTTTTGCCAATTCCTGGACATGCTGTACAATGTTCGTTTTGCGTTTCATTTTCTTCACTTTTTGCCGCCTCATCATAATCTCATGATTTGCGGATATCCTTCCTTTATTCTTTTGGAAAGAACATTCGGTTAAAAAACTTCCGGTTTAGAAAGAGCAGATACTTTAATAAATTTCACACACGGAACGTTCATCGTAATATCATGACAGACATAGAGGTTACCCTTGCATGAGAAGTATATAGTAATAATGAATAATATAGAGAATTTTTAAAAATAGATATGCGTTGTGCATTCCCGCTTATATCTTAATATATTTCTACTTGAATTTAGCAACAACACATGTCTATGAGTACCGCGAAACAATGCAACCGTAATAATGTACTGGACAGAAATGTAGATAAAAGTTAAAGGGATCGATACGTAAAATTGCTTCGCTAACACTATCGCGACGTCAGGAAACGTTGATCTCGTCGTGTTCAACTGTTTCTGATTTCCTCATAAGACAGACTACCTGCTGCGTGAATCTAGGTCTAGCTTTAAACCTGGACTGCCGTTTATTATTCTAAAAGAGATTGCGGTTTATCAGATTTATATCATTTTTATGCTGCACTTTCTAGCTGGGGGCATAGGCTGCTATTGCGAAAAGGATTAACGGAGGTTTTCGAGACAAGATAAGGAGATGTGATCGTACGTGTCCTTTCTTGGGACCACGGACGACGAATCCGTTCCTGGCGCCACGGTGTGTGCCCGCCAGTTGCACACCGGCCGATACCCAGGTCTCCAGACTGGCTGCAGCTGCGAACCGGTTATATACTTTCATCTGGCAGTCTTAGCACGGTCCCTAAAAGAGAATCCGATGACTATAGTCTGCGGTGCGCGAGGCGCGCGAGGAAAAGAGAAAGGAGAGAAAATGGTAGGGAGGTTAATGCCTGTACTAAGGCACGCTTATGCATCGGAATAAAGGACGTCTTCCCCCACTCTTTTGTTTTTTTTTTGTTTCCTTTCCTTTCCTTTTCTCTTCTTTTTTTTTCCTCCTCTTTTATTTTAACCCTACCACTTCTTCTGGTACCACGTCTCGGCAACACTCTCTACGGCGCGAGTCGCATACTTAGTGGAGGCCGTTCAAAAAACGCTGCGCTTGGAGCTGCGCGAGGCGGTCCGGAGGCAATATTTGATGAGATCGTATGACGGTCACCGCCGCGATGAAACGCGCATCCTGTTTGCCCGGTAATACATCTGACGCATACTTGCAGACTAATTGACCGTAGACCAATAATTTGGTCTTGTAGAGCGCCGTAAAGCGAATATTGAATTAAGCGTTACGTTTGAGAAGAAAAAAAAAAAGGTTAAGTGTATCGACCTGCTTTGCGTGAAATTGAATTGAAACGTACGACGGTGCAATATCGATCAAACAGATTTCTTAAAACTACCTTAAATTTCGCGAATTATACGGCGGCGATCGTTGAATTAATGATATTCGCTTCTCGAGCGCATGAGAAATGATAGGGAAGCAGAACTTTGAGAACCGCGCTACGCGTTAATAGTTTATCTTTGTGCTTATCTTCTGCGACTGTCGTTTGAAAGAGCATCCGATAGCTGTAACGGTAAGCGCTCCAGAAGGATAAAAGCGAAGAGGGAGAAGAAAGGAATGAGAAAAGTTGCTGCGTATACTAAAGCACAGTTACGTCTTCTTTTCGTTAAGCTGCGCTGCGCCGTCAACTAAATGTCCTTTTCGGCGAGGCGCGTATCAAGTCGGATATGCGGCCATCAGTGGGATCGAGATTTTGACGTGAACAAAACGATGTAGTTAGTCTTTCAAACAGTTGTTAAAACTCCAAAAGAGTAATTGAGTTTTCTGTAATCTACAATCGATACGTGATTGAAAGATACCAGAGAAATCGTATAAATGAGGCAAAAGACATCAACGGGAAAGGAAAGAGAAATAAATCGAACAGATAATAGTAAATTCATTCTCTTTTTTTTTCTGAAGACAAAGCCTTGAATTAAAATGAAACAAACGTTGAGAAAGCAATGGTAATGATACTCGAATTAATATGCAGTGATATGCGGGCACGTAGAAACTTTAATTAATTTGCGAAACTTTATATTTGTATTCAATTTGTTGCCACGTAAACCTACGCGAAGACATCCTTTCTCAGGATCGTCATTGTGTCCCAATTTTATCTGTAGAACTTTTACGCGCTGCTCACCGCATGTAGGCACTTTCAAGGTCTACTAGCTTGATTTCATGTACATAAAGATCATATAACTGGCGACAGATTGTCATGACCGACTGAAACGAGGGCCTTGAGATATGAACGTACGATGAACGTATCGATATGTAAAAAGAATTTGATGATAAATAATGCCCGCATGACGATCGTAAAAGTGTTTAATATAAATTATAAATCAATATGAAAGAGATACTTTCTTAATTATCCATTAAAAAACAATTAGACTATAAAACTCTGCATTTTTTCTATTTTTGTATACAAATTAATTTTTTTACATCTATATTAATTGTTTCTCACATTTTTAATATATAAAGCTAATGTTCATTTCTTTAACTCTATAAATACAAATTGTAGATAATTATTTTCACATATTTTTTAACATTTCCAAAATATTTTGTTTTTAAAAAATTGGTTTTGTGTTCCCCTTTACAAATCCAATTTTATTGTTATTTTAAATGTCAATGTATATACAATATAAACATAAAAAATGATTTTAACTTCAATACTTCAAATGCAATAAATAAAACATAAATTTCAGTTTTTGCTGTTTTACTACATCATCTAAATCAAATATATGCATCTTCTTTTTAATCTTTTATTATTCATTTATTATAAAATGCTAGTTTAAAAAATTATATCTATGGATTTTTTATTACATTTTTTTATCAATAATGGTTTCTAGAAATAAGACTTTTTGAGATAAAATCAAAATAATTAATTTAATACGCTTTAATAGTCTTTTTCAAATACGTATATCTTCTACTAACGTATAACTGCAGTTTCAGGTTTTAAGAAAACAGCATGCGACATCTGAGGTTCGATGTTGAAAGTGACTATCCTGGCCGGTTAGTCAGGTTCAACGAACTTAACTTACAGTAGGTACATGATGATCCGGATATTAAAACCCAGTAGATCATTGAATTTTTTTGCGTTTCAAGCATTGCACATAGCTACACAACTTTAATTCGTAACTCTATATTTGTATTGATAGCATCTCTAGCGGATAAAGCAGAGTTTTGTAACTCTGATATGCTAGATTAACTAGTTTATAAACCAGTTTCTTCATACCTTTATAAAATTTATACGACTTAAAGTATACGTAATATACCTCACATAATATTAGTCAAAAGTATTAGGTGTTGGAATTAATTCGTAGCGTTTTA